TGATGTTGGACGGAAGAACCCATATGGATCCTCTAATAAATCCATCGGATCGACCATTGTTGACGGGGAATTGTTTCTGCTCACAAAGTAATGTGTGATATTGTCATCGTGAGCGGAAATATGACATCCCTCGCGCTGATTCCGTCCCTGAAAAGAGAGCAGCTAGAAGTAAGAAGATAAATGGAAGAAAACTTCAAGGCACCGGGCGCGACTGCTGGAGGCGGGTGATTTTTGCCAGTGTCCATTGGTGGAACGGTTGCAGGAAGGCGTTTCACACCTCACTCAGTCCTTCCATCAATGACGCCGGCGACGACTGCCCGTCCCCTGCAATCGAGCCCTTTGCCCCGCCCCCCTTTTGAGTCCCCTCACCCCTCTCCCCAACCCAGAAAAGAGCGCTAGGGCTTCAAAAACACTGCACGTTGGACCGAAACGAAGATAAAATATATATTGAATGAATTTCATCGCGGCCCCACAGTGCTGATATTGGAAGGCCCTTGGCCGAGTTTGAGCGTGACGCCTTATTAACGGTTTCAGCTCAATAGGCACATGTGGCTTGCTTACTTGATTGACCGAATAGTAAGAGTCGTAGCTAAGGAACTTCAATTTAAAGGTAGTGTGCACGACGGTGGGGGGCGAGCGATTGCAGCCCACGTCATTGGGAGAAGGACTGGATGAGGTTTGGCCGAACGCCTTCTCACAGCCCTTCCACCAACGAAGTTGACAGCAAATTCCCCCACACCCCATTCCCCGCCTACGCCCCCACTTCCTCAGGGGCACACCCCGTATTTGCAAGAACCAAAGTCCTGTGTGCAGAAAGATAGTGAAGACCAAACCCGCAACTGGCTAGAAAGGCTTTTCCAAAGAAAATAGGTAACTTACGGCAATCTCGAATTCAAGTCGTGCCATTCCCAAAGAGAAGTACTCTCCAAAGTGTTCGTAAATTGTGCGCCCTAACCAGTTTGGTGACGATGCCGATCTAAAGTCAACGTTCGATAGTTATCTTTCCAATGAGAAGAAAACAAAGGAAACTATTTTCCGAGGTAACGCTCAGAGATAATAACCTTGTCCTTCGTTCGATTGGCACATCAAAGTTACGAATCAGTTCAGTACGAGCTGCTCGACAGCGGCCGATATTATTGAGTGGTTGCAACTGCGTCAGTCTGAAAAAGAAACTTAATAATTAAGGAGACGCCTCGTTCTAAAACACATTAACTTACCTTTTCTTTTCTATTTCAGCATACTGTAACACCTCACGCAACCATATCGCATAATTTGGGATTTTATCGCGCTCATCCGGACCAGGTTGAGGCAGTTCGAGTGACCTGTCGGCGCTGATCGCTTCGAACCTGATATGCACTTCGTCAGTGTCGTGAAATCAAGAGTTCGTTCAGAAAAACCAAAGAGTGACTACAAGAATATTGAGTAACGGGTGGACTTGACCCCAAGTTAGTCCTCAACTAGCACATTAGAGACAATACCTGCGCTGAACCAATTCGTAGACGTCCTTACTAGTAAAAGTAGTCTGGTCCTATGCCTGTAAGATTATCCCATTTTTGCGACTCCACAGTAACTAACGAATGCGCTGTGACCGTTACAAATGGCTGCTCTGACGCCTTCCTGGCTGCACCGCATAGAAAAACTCAAGAGTCACTTTCGGCCACAAGCTCAGACATCGCGTTTTTACTTTCTCACTGATAAACGCTGTTAGCATTAAACGACGCCAAAAAAACAATCGCTTATTCAGAGGCGGCATGACATCCCACTGGGGGCACAAAACGAGCAGGTCCGGAGAATTCGTCTAGAGAGGCTGTCCGGTCATTCCTTGCTTGAGTGTTCCCCATGATTTTTTTTTCTATTTCTTCCATGGAGAGTCATTTAGCGAGTACAGTTCGTAAATGAATGTTATTATCCACAATG